GAGTGGTTCCATGGGCATGGTCGGATGGGGTCCCAGCAGGGCGGGGAGGGGTGACTACATGTAAGGGATGGGATGATGGTATCACGCAAACCAAGTTTTGCGGTTTGACGGCAAGCAGACCCCCGGTCGGAGGAGTGCTTCACCCTCCGCCGCAGCAAGCTGCCACGGGGTACGAACGAGCAATGCAAGACGGCGGCGCGCCGTCGTCGCCGACCCATTGAACAGCGGGGCGACGACAGGGCGCCGGCCCCGTCTGCACGTCGTCACCTGTGCCGCGAGGTCGTGCACTGTCGTGGACAGCCCCTCCCGCTGCTCCGCCAGCTGGCGCTGCGCCTCCTGCGGGCGGCGCGCAGGGCAGCGTGGGCCGGCAGAGGCCGCGAGATGCGTTTTGCTGGGCGGCAGGGGGGGGGGGCATGAGCACCGGCGGGGCGAACGCTGTTCCCTCTGTCTCCCGCGACTCACAACAAAGCTTGCCGGCAGCGGCCCGCTTTGCATTGTTTGGGCCACCAGGCCGGTGAGCACACCGCCGGCGCGGCGTATTCTAGGACAGTTGTCGAGACCGGTCAATGGGTTGGCCGCAACCGCTGTTGACCGGCGACCCGCGGCAGAAACAAGTCCCCCGTCCGGCAAGCGCGCGCCCGCGGCGGCGGCGGCGGCGGCGGCGGCGGCGGCGGCGGCGGCGGCGGCGGGGGCGCACCAGCAAGCCCCGGCGCTCCCTGGAGGCCGCGATGGCCTCGGCCCTGAGTGACGTCAGCTCAGACTGGACGGAGGACACCTGGTTTGGATTTGAATTTTTCAAATGCCATGCCAGCGGAAATGGGGGGTGCCGGGTGGGAGGTTGGGCCGAGCAGTTTTCGTGCCATTTGAAACAATCAGTCAAGGCTATGACGGTCCGTGTCGTTGCCTAGGCTGGGCGGCGCCTGGGCAGCAATGCGGCGCTCGAGGAACCCGCTTCTGAACCAGCAAGCAATACATGAACACGATAAGAGGTCGTGCAGCACTTGATTGGCCGCGCACGCAGGCAGTCACCCCCCAAGGCTGGCCAAACCCTTGACCACGTCTTCAGACGCAGCTGCTGCGTCACCCGGCGGGTCGTCACCTGCCGCCGCGCCTCCCCGCTGACTTCATCCGCCTCGGCCCGGGCCGCCAGCGCAGCGTCGGCGAGCGCCTGGGGAGGCGGCCAGAAGGTGGGGTGGGGGTTGGGGGTGGAGTGGGGGTGGTGCTCAAGGGGCGGGCAAGCGCTGGTGCTGGTTCGAGTCATATCTCTGCGCTCGGATTTAAAGTTTCAGGTGTAGGGTCTTGGTGTAGGGTTTAGAGGTTTTAGCAGACCTTCAGATAACCCCCCCGCTTCGAGCCACCAGAGTGGGTTGCATCACAGCGGGTGGTTGGCAAGCAGTGTGCCCATGGCGAGGATGCGGGGGCGAATCCGTGCGGGTTGCCAAGCAGCTGCGCTCATTCGCGCGCGGCGAATCGGGCAGACGGCGCAGCTCGCTTCGGCGTATCGCGAGCGGGCCGCGGGCCGCAGCGCCGGCGGCCGCCGGCAGGATCCCGCCCGCCCGCCGCCCCCGCACCTGCGCGCGCGCCCGCGACGCCTCCAGCTGCGCCGCAAGGAGCGCCATCACAGACTCGCTTGCGCGCAGCGGGTGCTGCGCCCTGAGATTCGACAGGTGAACGGTCCGACAAGTGAGGTGCGGTCTGCCGCAGGCCCAGCGGCGGCGCAAACAAAAACCGCGGGCCCGGCCGCGAGCAGCACCGCTTTGACCGGCGTTTTCCCCGGAAGGTGCTTCCATTTCCAGACGCCGCTTCACAGCCCTCTCCGGCAATCTGACGCCATCGGAAACAATTGTGTACAGCCAAGGTGAGCGATCAGGCGGTATGGTATGCAAGTGTGAGCAACGCATGCGGCTCACCAGAGCACGTACGATTCCGACGCCGGCGCCCGCGATGTGGGGGCGCCGCCCGTGCCGCGCCGCAGGCCGCCAACGGGCGGCGAGCCCGGCAGCTGCAGCGACTGGTGCAAGCGCTCGCGATCGCGTGAGTTGGTGAGTCGGCAGGCCGAGGGGCTGCCGGGCCGCGAGGCGGCCGGGCAACTGGCCCGCAGCTGCGCCGGCGACGGCGGCCGCCGCGTCGTGCCGCCGCCGCCGTCGCTGCCGCGCTCCGCAGCAGGCAGCAACCCGCACGCCGACGCCGGCCGACCGCCCGCGCCCGCGCCCGCCGGCCGCGCCCGGGCACCGCACGGCGTCGAGCTCGGCCGCGCCTGCGGCGCCCCCCCTGCGGTGTCGTCGCTCGCCCGCCACGTCAGCGGCGG